GCAGCATCAGGATGGATGGTGAAGAGATTGAGATTGTACACAGCTTTAGCTTGCTTGGCTCCACAGTCAACACTCTTGGCACCAGTAGCCAGGAAATTAAAAGGCGTATTGCCATGGGAAAGTCTGCTGTTAGGGACCTCTCCAAAGTACTGAAGAGCAATGGTATCTCTCTGGAAACTAAGGGGTGTTTGATACAGGCTGTGGTCTTCTCAATCACTTGTTATGCATCAGAGAGTTGGACAATGACCAAGGAGGATAGAAGGAGAATTGATGCCTTTGAGCTTTGGTGCTGGAGAAGAGTATTGAGAGTACCGTGGACTGCTAGGAAAACAAACAGATTCATCCTGGAAAGGGTTAAACCAGGTGGCTCCTTGGAGGCAAGGATTCTGAAGCTCCGTCTAACATACTTTGGACATATTGTGAGGAGAGACTGGTCCTTGGAGAAGGAGATCATGCTTGGGAGGGTGGAGGGACGGCGCAGGAGGGGAAGGCCCTCTATGAGGTGGATTGATGCAGGGACTTTGATAATCGGGATGTGAGTGTCAGAGACAGTGCGATTGGCACAGGACAGAGCAGAGTTTAGGCCTGTTGTACATAGGGTCGCTATGAGTCGCAGGGGACTCGATGGCACATAATAACAACAACAGGATGAACCTGTTCATTCTCTTAGCAATCCATGGTATATTCAATACTCTTCTCCAACATGACAGCTCAAAGACATCAATTTTCCTTCTATCATCTCTATTAATTGTCCAGCTCTCTGACACATAGCAAGTTATTGCAAAGTCCTGTATCAGGTGCACCTTAGTCTCCAGATGACATCGTTGCTCTTCAGTACTTTGGAGAGGTCTCTAACAGCAGACTTAACCAACACAATATGTATTTTAATCTCCTGGCTGCTGGTGCCGAGAGTATTAATTGTGGGGCCAAGCAAACTAAAGCTGTTAACAATCTCAATCTCTTCACCCTCTGTCATGATGTTGCCAATTGGTCCAGTGTTGGGAATCTTTGTTTTTTTTATATTGATCCTCAATCCATATTAAAGGCTGTAGTCCTTGACCTTCTGCAGCAAGCACTTCAGGTCCTCTTCAGTTTCAGCAAGCATACTTGTATCACCTGCATAACACAGATTGTTGAATCTTCCTTCGATCCTGATGCCATATTTCTCCTCAGACAGCCCAACCTCCCATACATTATAAGTAAAGCAAATAAAATCAGTTGTCATCAAATTGAGTCTCACCAACAGTAAGCCCATGTGTTGCAGAGTAGAACTGTGTTCATACAGTTTTCACGAGTGTGATCTGTCAGCAACAGATTGCCAAGCTTTTCTTCCAAGTTAACTATGGGGGTTTCAAACCACCAATGGTCGTGTTAGTCATCAAAAGCTTTAGATAAGGAGTTTCACTGACAACCCAAAGGCATTCAGTTCAAAACTACCAACTGCTCCTCAGAAGAAAGATGGACAATGTACTCCTGTGCAATTTACTATCTCTGGAAACCCTACTGGAGAGTCAGCTATGGGTTGGTTATTCTAACTCAACTGTACCTAAATACAAGTCAAGAGTTAAACCTTTTGCACAATCAGTTGTCTTTCTGATAGAGCCAAATGACATTAGCTTGACTCTGACATCTACCTCACTGGTAGTATCCACAGGATTTTTTGCTTATGCCTTTCTACAATCCTGTAACACTGTTCATCAATCTACATATCCCTCTATTTTATTGGGCATAGTATCTATCCAGCCTCTAGAGATTCTCCCAAGAATCTTGGATGTGATTAAGTAAAAGTCACCAGTCAATTATAACTTTGCTGCAGCAGTAAAAGAAAACTCTATGTACAAGTTATAGTGGTTCTAAATCCCACACACTTAATCTAATCCTGTGGGAAAAGTGCTCTGGTGAAACAACTAAAGATTCAAACTTACCAAAGGCTCCAAGAGAGGATAAGAAAGTTCATTGCCATAAAGTCAGAAATGACTCATTAATGATCCTCCATTAGGTTTCCAAAACTGTAAACCACACAGGAGGAGATTGCCCAGACCTAGCACTCTGCTTTCAGAAAGACAACACCAAGAAAACCCTGTGGGACAATTTCACCTCATCAAACAGGTTCACTAAGAGTTGGCATCAACTGACCAGTACCCAGCAACAATCCTCACAACATTGTAAAACAAAGCAAGTACCCAATATTAACCACATCTTCACTTTACAGGACTTTGAACTGATTTTGGTCAGTTCAGTCACAGCCAACACAGTGAAATAAGAACAGACCTGAATTGTCAAAGTTAAAGTGAAGCTGAATGATAAATGGAACAAAAAAAAAATTACAGGTCAAAGGCTAGGAATTGGAGATTCGGAGCAGGGATGGTGAGTGAGTTCTTGCAGGAGTGTGATGGAGAAGAGGAGCTTGGAAAGCAACTCACATTGAAAATGAAGTGATCAACTCACCGAGTCAAGCAACATGCACAATGCTTTTGTCTTCTAAGAGAGAGACTAAGTTTCTAGTGGGGTGCTGGCCAATAGCATTCTCTGTTCTATTGCTCCAGGTCAGGCACACTTTACAAATTTGAGTCCATCCTGGCTTTGCCTTGTTATTGGTGACTGAATCAGAAAGAACCAAGTTGAAGGCCTGGTTTACTAGGAAGCAAAGCTGAGAACTGACTCCAGCCTTTTGTCTGCAGAGTCTTGCTCTTACCCACAGTTTTACACTACAATTGTGCTACTCCAAACCCTGGACGTCACTTGGATCATTTTTTAATAAGATATGAAGGAGCTCATTCAATCATCCTGATTGAAAATCAATGACAGAACCTGCAGGGGGAAACTGTTTATGCTATCTTACAGATTGAAGCAAAATCTTTCCTCAACAAACCTCAGAAACTGCGTTTGTTAGAAATGTTTCACCAGGTGGGAACATAGAGTTCACTCAAGGCCACTGGAAAACTTACTCACAGTTTGAATACTGCTCGAAACAGGTGTCCCACTAGGTTTACGTCTTTTTAAAAATTCATTGCTTCTATGCTCCATCCATTCATTTCTCATATGGAAGAGAGTCAAGGTGATGTTTATTTTAAGCAAGATGAAAAAAATTCAAATAGCGGTGTTTAGTTACAAAGTAAATAAATTATTTCTGGAAAATTATGTTTTGGTGTATGTGCTGAACAATATCAAGGCACTAGGGCTTACCTGAAGTAATTTAGGATTCTGTTTATCTAGCCCTAAACAACTGAAGCAAAGCTCCTATTATTGGATGATTGCTGTTGGGCAATCCAATTCCTCTCACAAGTTAAAGAAACTTTCTTTTATTTCCTGCCTAAAATAATTAATGGTTTACTAGCAGTTACTAATTGATGCAGTACTTAAGGTTCCTTAGGGCTAATGACTGGGTGGGACTTACAATGTTATTCCAAGCCAATCTGTGCACAATCATCTCTCTCAAGAAGTGTTCTAACCAATAAGAAGCAGCCTAAGATTCTGGGCAGACCACTTGGTGTTCCATATATGCCCAGGTGATGCTGAAGCAGGTTTCAGCTCCTCAGAAAAAAGGCTCCTGGGAGGTAAGTTAAACATTTCTGGGCAGAAGAAAGTTACATTTAACATAAGGCCATAAAGCAGATTATGAGGCGTGGGATAAAAAAAAATAGTATGCTAAGTCTATGGAAAAAAAAAATAAGATATTCTGTAAAAACTAAAGAGGTAAGTAACAGCTTCACTTATAATTTCCTCAAGGAAGACTATTTAAAAGTAGTTTACATTTCTTCCTCTCAGAGAAACAATTTCAATAACTATGTGAGGGAAGTAAATTTTTGTTTGTATTTATCTGATATTTGGCATTCTTTGAAAAGTCAAATTTTCAAATATTGAGACATAGTCATCTAAGGCAAAACTGACCTAAAAAGATCTTGTGCTATAGAATTGAGAAATGTTTATGTAGTATGTCATCCCACAAATATAAACCACTCAATGAAGATGGAGAATATTTCATTAACTGTAGTCAGCAGAGCATGATTATCTTGCCTAAATTTAGCATACAATTTTATTAAGGGTTATGATTTATATCCTTACCTTAAATGCTCCTATTTTTTTAAGCCCCTATAATATCATTTGCAGAAGCAAACTTAAAAGTATGTTCAAATTAAACATTTGAAAGTTTAGGAAAAATTCAGATATATTATCTTGACAGGAGCGTTTTTTAAAGTCACATTTTTAAATATAGTTCTTTTTTTCACTTGTATGGGAAACAAAATATTTCTGGAGTAAATAATTTGAATATATATCTTTTTATAAATTAATAAATGTAAGATTTTTATATATAAGAATATATTTTTTCATTTTAATCACCAATATAATGCAAATTCCTTGCAATCATATAATTCTTTGTAGTTTCAGCATTACTTAACTGTGAAAGACTCTTGCATTTCAGATTGAGAATATATTCCCATCAGCCCAAACCAAGTTGTATTAGTAAAGTTACACCTTTTGTTAATGATATTGAATCCAGCTTCACTAAGTCCAAGCACATAGTATACAAATTCAAGTAATATTTTAATGACTCCATTAGAAATTCTGCTTGTTAAAGTAGTTCCTTAATTATCTATTAAGGGATTCAATTGTTCGGGTAACTAAATTCCCTGGACAAGTATATTTTTAGTAGTTCATTTTTAAAAAGTTAGTTTGGACAAGTAATATTTAGTGGGACAAATTTAAAATTTTCTATCTTGTGTAAGAAAATTATTTCCTTATATATCTCAAACTTCCTTTGACATGTTTGTAGGGCTTGGAAAAAGTTTTATTTTCTTTTCTTAATGACAGCCTTTGAAGATCATCCTGAAGATTGTTTTGAAGAGAATGCATCAAGGATCTATTTATTGAGTTTTTCTAAGCAAAAGCCAGGAGCTCCCTAATGTAACTACGTTAGTGCTTATTTAGAGGAAGAAATATATAGATTTCCTTTAGCAACCATAAAGCAGATAACTTAGTGCAAAAAAGCTCCCATTTTGGAAGATGTCACTTAATACTTCCAATGTATTTCTGGATCCAGTGCCCACTAATACTAGTCGCTTTCAAGTTAATGTCATAAATGAGAGCCATGAAAGCAGTGCAGCGGCAGATGCCAACACTGACCCTCCTCATTATGAAGAAACCTCTTTTGGGAATGAAGCCCAAAACAGACTCAGAATCAGCTTTAGGCCTGGGAATCAGGAGTGCTATGACAATTTTCTCCAAAATGGAGAAAGCGCTAAAACAGATGCCAGTTTCCATGCATATGATTCACACACAAACACATACTATCTGCAAACTTTTGGCCACAACACTATGGATGCTGTACCCAAGATTGACTATTATCGCAACACCGGCAGCATCAGTGGACCCAAAATCAACCGACCCAGCCTGCTTGAGATCCATGAGCAACTTGCAAAGGTAAGTTGGGGAGGTTAGTATCCACCCTCATTCCTCCAGACAATTTCCTCCTCTTTAGTAATGTTATAAATGTGAAATTTAGAATGGACAGGTCTATTCCAAACCATCCATCTTACTTACACAACTATCCCTAGTTACCAATAAATGGAAAACACACATATGTATTTCACAAATATTGATGGAGTATGAAAACCCACCTCTGTAAAGAGCCAACTCTGTTAAGCCTGGAAATGTGTCACATCTCATTTACAAATATAGCCTATTCAATTTTCTGTTGGTTAAACACATCAAACTGAATACAAGTCTAGTTCTACCTTAATAGTAAAGTCTTCAGATTCCTCCTCCTAGTCCATAGGCACTGGGTTACAGTCGCCTTGTAAGACAGAATTCAATTGCCCAGTAGAGTACCCAAGACTATAATCTTTGTGGGATTGAACTGTCACATCTTTCTCACACAGAGCAGCAGGTAGTTTTGAACCATGTGCTTAGATCTTTCGGTTCGCAGTCAAGCATTTAACCACTCTGTCATCTGGGCTCCTTTTCAGAGTTCTGGATAGTACAAGTGCTTAATGCGCTCAGCTCCTAACCAAAAGGTTGGAAGTTTGAGTATACCTAGAAGCACTTTGGAAGAAAGACTTGATGATGATCTGAAAAATCAGCCTATTCTATAATTCAGGCGGTTGCTGTGGATTGGAATCGATCCCATTACAATTGCCTTTCTTTTTTTTAACCTGTTATGCCTCTAACACCAATTGTGATAATTCAAAGTTACTTTTGTTTGCTTAGTTAATGATGTGAGTAGCAGCCTTTGATGAATGTATTTTAAAAGCATGTTCTTTAAAGAGCAAACTGAGATTTGTAAGATTCAGCATTTCATCCCTTGCTCTTCAAAACTTTGCCCGAGGCTCCTAAATTCATTTAAGCATTAGAAAGTAACTAAATTAAATTTAAGGATAGATGCAGCAGAAGCGGCTAAACATTCCACTATTTAAAGATTCCCAAGTCACTAGAAGCATGAGGCAGCACTTTTTCTAATCTTGCAGCAAATCATTTAGAAGCTTGATAGATTTCTTCTTCCATAACTTGCATTGTCATATGGTGATGGACTTTTTCTTTCTGCTTTCCTGGAATATGTTTTGAAATTAGTATCATCCTTTACTGGACTATAATTACTTCCTAGAAAGAGTAATTGGCTATCACATATCCAAATACAGTTTACTCTTGAGGTGAGGAAAAAAATTGTTTGGAACAATTCTTCTCATGTTCCTTCATGGAACTTTCTTCTTTTTTTGCTAACAGGCCAAAATTTACTTTCTCATAGTTTAGGAGACTAGAAGTTCTAGAAGTTCAAATTCAGACCTCTGGCTCTTAGAGAAGGCCTCTGTCAGCTCTGGAAGGAGGTCCTATTCCTCAACCCCTGGAAGATCTTGTGGCTTGGTATCCATCTTTCTCTCTTCACTGAACATTTTTAAATTAAATGATTATCCACTGTAGGGAACTTTGAAATACTGTATTCGGGAAAGATATTGATAAAGGTGAAAAATCTCCCTTTAGTTTCTATGCATCCTTCTTTGCACAAACAACTCCATTTCCAAAAAATTAGTCCCTCTCACCACTCAGGGTCTTTGATTCTAGAGCCCTGCAGTCAGGGACCAACTGATTTCATAAGGAGGATCATAAATGCTTAACTCTTATCCCCTCTCTCCACGGCTTCTGCCTCGTGACTCACAGACACAATAGTCAGAGTAGGGCTGTGCTCCATACAGATGTCAATGGCTGTTTTCAGCCTTTTTTTCATGCTCAATTCTGTGTAAATCCAAACCTCCAACCTTTTGATTAGCATGTGGACTCTTCAACTATTTAGCCCCCATGAATTCTCATCAAACCTTACTCATCCTATGTCTCATACCAGGAGCATTTTTCCTAAAGTGCTAGACTCCCATCATATACGGATATATCACCTACCAGAAGCAGCACTTTACGAAATGACAAAACGGAGCTCTCCTGAGTAAATTGGGGGTTTTGTTTATTTTTGAAATTATAGGATTTTTAATCTCTTGAAATCAGATTTGCACATAATTTTTTTTATTCTACGTGAAAAGAGGTGAGAAGAATAAGACAAAGAAAGAAAGAACAAAAAGATAATTAAAAGGAGGTTCAAGGAGTTTTGAAAAATTTAAAGTATTGCAAAAAACAAATTTTCAATGTATCCCTAAGAAGTGAAATAAAGTCCTCTAAAAGAAAAGTTGAAATTCCACTGTCTTCCACCACTCTATTTGAATTTTTTCACCACTCTATTTTTTAAAAGTTGCTCTTTCACTAAAAGTTGTAAGAAAAATAAATATTCATCCTGTTCTCCAACATGCACAATAAGGGTATAAAATTTTAATTTCATAAAAAAGAAATTATGTAAATTCATATTGTTATTAGAATTGACATTGCGGACAGAGAAAAGTAGCTTACTTATGATTTCTAAAGCCACTGATTATTTAAATCATTAAATAAAGAGGAGAAAATTCTGAGGAAACAATTGTTTGGAAAGCCCTCTGAATGGCAATAAAATAGGAACATTATAATTTAAATTGGCAGTTTTGCTACCTGGTGGTAACAATCTATCTTTTTCTTTTTTTTTTTTTTAAAGATAGAGGGAGGCTAAAGTTTTGGCTTTGACTATTAACAGCAAATTTTTGTCAGACATAAAGTCATGACACATTAAATAGAATAAAAAATTAGATTGAAGCTCAGTGCCCTGAATAAAGATTCTGAATCAAATATAAAAACAACCTCAAACTCATTACCATTGAGTCTCAACCAAATCAGCTGACCCTCCAGTGAGTTTTCAGAGGCTTCATACTGCATAGGAGATTGTCCATATTTCTTCTGCAGAGCAACTGGTGGATTTGAACAGCCTGTGTCTCGGTTTAGCAGCACAACTCCATATCCACAAGACCATCAGAGTTTGAACTATATAAATTCATATATTACTAACATAGTTAACATAACTATATTGAATTATATATCTATAATAACAAGTAGTTCTCTTGATGAATTTATCTAGGATACTTACTCTTGGGTTTTGTGCAAATTCTGGTTATAATACAATAGAAATAGAATTACATGGCAAATTTTCCTAATTGGTAAAATAAAAAATAGGCTTGAAAGCAATTATTCCCAGTCTCTACCTTAATAGGCACTTTAAGAGTGATAGATATTGATAAGATTTGTAATCTCAATGATTTGAGATTGTAACTGAAGACATTCTTTTCATTCTCTATGTAGTAAAGAACTAAATGCCTCTACTAGTGCTTAAGAATGTGAGAGAAGGATGAGCAATCTCCTCCCATGCAATTAAGTGCCTATAAAAACCCCCTGGTGGGTCAGCTATGAGTTGGTTCCAACTCAATGGCAAACAACAATGGTTAAGAATAGTGGATTTCTGAAAACTTCAGTAATTAGCATAAATAAAAGGCTCTGTCTGGTGGCCTAGTGGTAAGGAGTTATGCTGCCAACCCACAGACACTCAGTTGGAAAGCACCAGGTGCTCCATAAGAGAAAAATGAACAATTTGCTTCCCACCTCTGACAATTCACTGGAGGGTCAACTATGCTTCTGACTTGTAGACACAGTACATTACATACATCTCTTACTAGTCTACAACATTATACAAGGTACTTAAAAACAATGGGTACAAACCCACTGCCTTCAAGTAATGAACCCACTCACAGCTGATACTCCAGTGGGTTTTCAGAGGCTGTAAATGCCATGAGAAGCAATTGCCCGTCTTACTCCCAAAGAGCCATTGGTAGATTTGAACTACTAAGGAAGTGCCACCTGTATGATAGCAGCTCAACTAGCTATAGACTAAGCCACCAGAGCTCCCTATAGAGTGACAAGCTTCTACCTATTTTTCAGGATGCCCCTGAATATTATTCTTTCTCTGTGTATATAAAATTTTACACATTGCCTAAAGGAATTTAACAGTTGATGATGATAATGGTAACTTTTATACTAGTCTTTTAATTTTCAAAGTTAGGCATACATTGGTAAAATATTTCAAGAATACTAAAAGGTCTATCATGAAATATCTCTTTTCTAACTCAAATCATTAGTTCTTCTTGCCAGGGCAGTAATTATTGACAGTTTTTTTGTAAATGGCCCCAGCCATTCTCTATGCTTATACAAACATACCCATGCATACATAAATATCTATATTTCTGTCTGTATCCTTTTTTCAAGCACATATTAGAGCATATTTATACTCTTCTTCACATTGCTATTTTTACCAAACAATGTATCTTTGAGAGCTTCTCCTATCAAAACATAAGCAATCATTGTTAGACATCTGGTAAAGGAGTAATCTAGAAATTTTAGCTTGTAAAGAGAATTTTGGTTCAATTACCCCAACTTAATTCTAGGGGCCATCTTTCAAACATAGCTCCTGATTGCAAAGTTAACCAAAGTAGAACTTGTATTCAGCCTTAATAATTATCTAGATAGTGTTTCATCAAAACATAAACATAAAAGATTCAGGGAATTACATAGCCTTCCTGTCAAAGCCAGGGTTCTGATGTTACAGACTATGAACAGTACAAGACACTAGAAGAAGGAAGATAAAAATGTCATTTTTGAGGAAGCCAGACACATAGCAAATGATCTAAAATGGGAAAAAAAAACACCCCACTTCATTTTTGGGTTATTAAGACTGTTATCAACTAAAAATAACTTGAATAGCTTTTTAAATAACTTTTTAAAATAACATTTAAGGGTAAATCCAATTTAAAAAATTTTTCATTGGGAATTTTTTATGTCAACCTTGACAAACTCTCATTTAGTTCTTACAAGCACCTTCTAAGGGTTACTATTTTATAGGTGATGAAGTTTTTATAAAATGGTTTGAATCTTTTTAAACAAGAAAATAGAGACTGAGAGAAGTCAATGAACAGCCCAAAGTCATGTGGCTAATTAAGTGGAACTCACGTTGGCGCGACTCCAGTGTCCGT